CTGTGAAAAGCATTCGTTCCGAATCGAAATTCGGACGAATTTTCGGAAATTCGGAGATTCGGATGCATCTGAATTACAGCTAAAACGAATACAAACGAATCCGATTTCCCGAAATTCGTTTCGGTTGTCTGGTCGAAATTTCGTTCGCAGCAAAGTGACAGAAATTTTTTTTTTTTTTACAGTCTGGAAAAAAAAAGCGTGAGGTTGCCCCCCAATTCATACCAGACCCTTTAGGTCTGCTAGGAATGTTAGGAGGGACCCTCCCCCAAGTTAAAACATAAAAAAAGTGCGTGGGGTTCCCCCCAAAATCCTACCAGACCTTTTAGGTCTGGTAGGCATTTTAAGAACTTTTTTTTATTTCGGCGGGGGTCGTGCATCCTAATTGACGCTGGAATACATCGATGGAGCCATTTTTATTTTAATTAAAGGAATAGTCAAAAATTGAGTCTGTTTATTTCCAATTATAGGATTTTATCTAAAAGTCTGGACTTTTTGCTAACTATTTGATTTAACCCTTTAGTGAATGGGTAGGGATACAAGTAACCCATACTTATTCACAAGGGGGGAGGGCGGCATCTGGGTGCCCCCTTATTTAACAGTACACAGTACAGCTCAGTAATGCTGAGCAGGGGCGTCCCGAGGCTGGGTGGGTCTCAGCTGCCGTTGTGATGTGCGGGGTTCCTTGTGCGTCCCTGTGCCTTTAAGGAGGATGGGCTTCCTCCTGACAGACCTGCACCCAATTTTATCTTTTGCCCCATGTGCTCCAAGATGGAGACTCTCATAGTTTAGAGTTCGGACCGCACTATATGGAGGGGCCTTGGCGAGGCTGTGCGGCTTTCACATTTTCTGCAAAAGACGTGTATCAAAACCTCTGTGAGTCATTTTGGTGTCACCCCTGCAACAGTGTCACCCGGGTGCGGGCCGCACCCCCCTTGTGATGCCACTGATGCTGAGCCTGTTAAACATCACAGGCTGAGTGTTACTTACTCGGTGCCTGCCCACTGCACCTGCCACGTTTCCAGCCTGGCACGAGGGTTATCGGGGTGGGCTGTGATCAGGATCAGCCTTAGCAGTGATGTTGGGTTGTTGCTCCCTACTGAAGTTCCTGCTCTTTGGAGAGAAAGCAAGAAGAGGGAATGTGGAGAGGATCTGAGGGGAGGGAAAGTAGCAAAAACAGCTGCCTCGGGTGCCATCCTCCCCACCACAGCCCTACACACGGGCCTCAAGATTTACAGGATTGTCTCACTTTTGAGCCGCATCTCAGTTCAAAAAGTATATATTCTGACTCCGATTGTTGTATTAGCGATTTATCATCACTTGCTGGGACCTCTGTGCCTGGCCTGTATAAGCAGATATAATCACTGCGGACAATCCTTATCAGATAGCCAAACTCACCAAGTACCTTTTCATCCATGAAGTGCTTTATTGCATGCAGCAGGTAATGACTTGCTGCCCGACTTCCTGATACAGCAAGTATTGGGCTAGGCATCAGAGCATTTGGGCGAGTACTAGTACTCGCCCAAATACTCGGTATCGGCACCAATACTGATACTAGTATCGGTGCATCATTAATAAATACCTACACTGCTTGCATAAAAATAAACATTTGGTCACATATAAATAAATGCAGAGCTGCATGTTTTTTTCCTTTATATGTGTGTATTTTATCTCTGCCTGGGCTTCAGCTTAAACAAAGATGGTGCCGTCATTCTGGAGAAAAGCAGACAAAGGCATTGTCAGGCGGATCGATTTGATCTCTACGTGAGGTAATAAAATACCTGATCCCCAAGCTGCCCAGATCATGTGACCATCTTCCCATCTCTACAATCTGACCCGGAATTCCAGTCTGCTCTTCCCGATCGGCCATTGCTCGTTCAGCCGGATACCTACAGTAGACAACTACAAAATAAAGATACGCCGACCACAACTGATATAAAACAGAAACCTTTAATAAAACATAACAATAGTCAGTATTATTAGTAACAAGCTTGTAGTGCACTTATAATTCCCACTACAGTGGGGGGGACATTGTTTGCTGGTCCTGTCAATTCCCTGGATCTGATGGCGTCTCAGGGAGTTGAGAGGCTGAATTTCCATCAGTTTTGGTCCATTCCACATATAAAGAAGCTTCACTTCCTCTTTAGAATACATGTGAGATTGTATTATGTGTGAGAATGATATATTCATCCTTTAGTATCCCTCAAATATCCCATCCTTCCAGATTCCGCACTGATATCATGTCACCAGCACCGAGTTGTAGTGTCCTTCACTAGTGTTAGTGTTGAATATTTAACATATATATACACAGTATACATTTTCCAGTTTCAGCATCTTCAGTCTTGTAAGGAACTTGTCAGTGTATCTATATGGAAGTGACCACTGCAGACTTGGCTTGGAAGATGGAAGGTCTGGCACTGCCATCCTTATCCATGCTTTAGCAGTCACTGACAGAACAAGCATATGCATTATAAGTTGACAATACTTTACTGGCTACATGATTGTTCCAGGTCAGTGACTCGCTAGGCAGTGAAGGATGAGGCCTCATTCACACGAGAAAAGGCCGGCACGTACAGCTCTGTGCATGGCCGAAGGACAGGTGCTGCGTGTGATTAGTACGCAGCCCGGTCCTTCTCTATGGGACTACGTGGCTGTACGCCGCCCTACGCTCACCCGTCCTGCATGTCCGTGCCAGGATGGATCCTGTCTGCGTCCGAGCCGAGACACCCGCATCCGTACGGACCTGCACTTAAGGTGAGCGTAGGGCGGCGTACGGCCGCATACTTCCATAGAGAAGGACAGGGGCTGCGTACTAAATCACACACAGCACCTGTCTTTCGACCATGCACGGAGCTGTACGTGCCGGCCTTTTCTTGTGTGAATGAGGCCTAAAGGTCTGTGTTTATGGGCTTTTGTTAATGAGTAAATGCAAACTGAACATCAGATTGAGATGGGTCTGAGATCATTCATGACAGGTGCATGTGACCAGGGCCAGGCTGACCTAAACGCAGGAGAGACACCGGCCTTCGGTACTGTGGTGGAGAGGATGTAGCTGGGGTGGAAGCCTCTCCTTCCTATGCTCTGTGGCTGCCTCTTGCACTCTACAAGACCGATCTGGAAATATATAGAGTGCTTACACTTAGAGATTGGCTCTTCCGGTGTAATCAGTGGGGCTCTGCTGTCCATGTGACGGCTGTCTTTGCACTTTATCAGAGGCTCCTGATTAACAGAGTGCAGAGGACAGCACACAGACAACAGAGCCCCATTGATTACACTGGGAGAGCCGATCTCCTAATAAACTGAGTGCAGAGGACAACAGAGCCTCATTAATAACACTGGGAGAGCCGATCTCCTAATAAAGGTAGAGTGCAGAGGACAGTAAAGCCTCATTGATTACACTGGGAGAGCCGATCTCCCAGTGTAATCTGCACTGCAGAGTTATCAATGTGACAGCTCAGTCCTGCTCCTCATTAATGAATTAATGAATTAATGAATGAATGAATGAAAGCTGTAGGTGTCCCCCCAATATTTGTAAATTAGTGTTCTTTGTTAACTGTGAAACCTCAAAACAAATCCAAGTTTAACCCCAAATTAACCCAAATTACTTTTTGTTAATCCCTTTGTCACCTTCTTCCCTAGCTTTATTTTTTTTTTACCTTTCATAATTAACCTCTTGCCATCCGCCCGTTAAGAAAAAAACGGACGGACGGCTGACTCCTATCTGCGGGTTGCCGTCGTCAGACTGCATTTTTTTCCTCCTAGCGCGCGCGCACGGGCAGGAAAGACCCGCTTGTTACTACAGCCGTTAACGGCTGTTTCACATACAACCGATCAGCGGCTCTATAGCCGCTGATCGGTTGTATGGCGTGAATTTCGGA